GCTGAGGAAATCAAGTGTATAACATGAAACATGGCTTCAGCTTATCCATGATATGGCAGAAGATACATGGGCTGTGATGTTAAGCAAGGTTATGTAAATGATAACATGAAGCAGCTGTGGCAAAAGCCTGTGCAGACAGATTCTAAAGGGAATAAGCAGACACGTGGACACAGACAGGAAACCTAACAGAGAAGGTAGCTCATTTTGCTGAGGTTTCTTTAAATTAAACAAAAAATTAGAAGCATGCCCATACAAAAAAAAAAAATACAACCAATGCCACCACCAGGCACAAGATATTAAGTCAAAACAACTACCACAATTGCTGAAAAATGAAAGAAACCATCAATTTAGAGAGCAGCAATAAGCTAAGCCATTAGACATCTTGCCCTAAGCCCCCATGCCTGCATGTTCTTGATGCAGTGACAGACGACACTCCTCTCTCTTTTAGTGTTCACCTGTCAGGGGACGTATGTCTGCAGCCACACCTGAATGGGCACACTTCAACTGGTCCTCCCATGGTTTGGGCTTTGGAGAGTTTTCTTCTGGCATCAAAAAACCAATTAATCATCTGTTACAGTACTGTAATGCAGGTGATCTCAGCTGGATGGTCAGATGAACATCACCGAGCTGACCAGCAGACTCTTCTTGAGCATCCACCTGAACTAGAAGCCTGGCAGTTCATGCCATCTTAGCTCCCTCACCCCACACCCCTCACCTCTTTTATAATGTGGCTGAAATTAAATTTCAGACAAAATGTTCTCATTGGATCTGAAAGGTTGAAGCAGAGCTCTAGTTCTCCTGCACCAAGAGCAGGTTGCCTAGTGCTACGTTCCGAGAGCAATCTTTAAGACTGCTTTTCAGCTAAATGTGACCCAGCATCTTTGCAGTGAGCTGAGCACTTGTGGAGCTCTCAGCTGCAGTGAGAGCTGCCAATATTCACACAATTTGAAAGAGAACCAGGACAATTATTTCAAACAGAAGAAATAGACGTCTTGTGCTGACAGAGTAAACACCTTTGGGGTTTGACTTTGCCAGCAGCTCTCTTTAACTCCTGAAGTGGATATGCTAACATTTAAGAGATACCCAACACTTCGCATTGCAAGAAGCCACTTCCAGCTGTTTATATTTTTAGCAAATTAATTTTTTTAAAAGTAAATTTTAATTTAATTTCAACTGCAAACCCAACATCCCTATTCCTATCTTAGAAATGCTTGGAGCCTTGCACTAGGTGTGGTGTTTAAGGGTTTTTGGTTTTCCCCGTACAAGTCTTCTGTATGACAGCCACTCTTCAGGCCCGAGTAGGTGCCATTATGTCAGCCTACCACGTGTCTGAGGTAAAGCTCCTTTTGGTCCACTCCTGCCAGAGGAGTACGGAATGAAATGAAACTCCTAGAATCAATTTAGCAGCTGAGGGATTTGGAATTTAGGAAGGGGTAGCAGAATGGAAATACTTTTTAGGAGCCTCCTTCATGGTCAAGTCAAGGAGCTAGTTACAGCTCAACATACTTTGATGCAGTTCGAGGAGCTAGCCTTGAGCAGGTCATATATTTAAGACCTGGTCCTCAAAATAGCACCAAGATGAAAACTTTGTTTCTGTGACTCCGGCACTGGATCTAATACACCTTTGCCTTGTACTTCATGACTACTATGTTTAGAGAGACAGCTCCTTCCAAGTGCCACCTAAAGCCAAATGTGCTCCCAGAATCAGGTCGAAAAATACGTTGGCCCTTCAGGCAACAATAGACCAAAACAATGGAAATAATAAGAAAAATGATAACAGGAGGAAAATTCAGCTTTATGAGTGAGGATCCTTTGAAAACCATTAGTGGCAGAGGAAGACGCGTTTCAGTGCACCAGCATTTGCCGTATTCCACTGTGTAATTCCATGACTTTCAGATTCTCCTTAATTTCAGAAAGACTATTCAGTAGCCTCTGGCTTCTATATTATTTTTGTTTCTCACTTACTAGCTAGCAGAAGCTGAAAAATAAACACGCAACTAGGAGCTGTATTCACAGACAGGAAGTAACTTTAATTAAATATTGTGAAAGTTGAAAAGTTTTTACAGCTTGAATTTCTGCAAAAAAATTATAACAATCTCTACAGTAGTTAGTTTCTCTAACAATAGAACTGTACAGTGTGTGTGTCTATTCAAAAAGATTTAGATAAGAAGGTGAAAGGTTAGTAGTTTCAGAGATGACTTCATTTTAGCTGCATCCTAGTACAACTGTGAGGAAATAGGCATACTTTATGCGATCCAGTCATTGTGAAGCTTCGCCTTGTTAAAACTGAAATCTGAATGTTTCCACTTAAAGCCATATTCTGTAAACAGCTGCATCTTTTACTTGGTAAAAGATAAGGGTGGCGCAGGGGAGATTTTTATGAATTCCCATTCATCAGATCACTATAAATAGCTGCGACAAAACGAAATTACGCACGTTGTCAAAGGATCTTTGGACACTGGCGTAGACAACTACAAACATCGATGGCTAACACTGGTGTTGAAATCGCTATGACTTTGAGTGGAGCTCAACAAGAGTAATTGATGGTGTCACTGGACAAAATATGGCTTTAAATTTGATTACACTATCGTGCTGTTGCTTACTACGTGAATTAGAATAATCGCTTGGAATACAGAGAAGCAATAAACTGATGTCTCTCACATTTTCCAGTTTTCTCTTTTATTTTCTCACCATGAAAAAAAAAAATCCTGTTTTCTTCCCTTCCCCCCAAAGATCACACTGTGACATTCTAGTGAAAACCATTGCAAAATTCATACAGGAAGCATGCACAGTTGCAGCATCGTTGTAAATGATTCCTTGCTCGACTAGAAAAAAGTTATATTGTTTTAAGGTAACAAAACAGTTCTTTTGTGCTTTTCAATTCCTTTTTTTTTTTTTTTCTTAGAATGTTAGTGATGATTGACAGTTCTGGTGCACAGTACAATGTACAAGTGAAATGAATATGATTTGCATTGTTAAGGCATCCAATCTGCTGGTTTATATTTATGTGAAAGACAGAGAAATATACAAGCAGACTTAAGAAAGAAAGTATTTTCATTGAGTTCTATGAAGTTTCTCCCCATATTTAATGCACAAAAATGCGTCACTCCAAAGAGGAGAAATCCCATGCATATTAATAGAGTAAAACAGCATTAGTTTTTGTTAAGCCTCAAAAGCAAAGGATACATTTTTTTTTAAAATCTACATAACTAAATGCTACAAGAATAATATGCTACTTTTTGCCATATATTGGAAAAAACTTCTTAACTTACAAATAATACAAAAATAGACAATGGCTTTTGGGTGAAAATTAAAAAAAAATGGAAGCATGGTTTAAAACAATACTAAAAAAACTATAAATGAAATGTTTTAAAATCACATTTAAACAGCTAATACAACGGTGAATGACCAAACAAATCAGCACTTTTCACATAGCAAACATACACAATAAAATAAACTTGGTAGGGGACAAAAAGCAATGTACAAATTCCAAAGATAAATACATTATTTATATGGATATTTTACAAAATCCCCTGTAAAACAAACAAACAAAAAACAAAAAAGCTTTTTTTTCTTTAATTAATTTTGCGAGTATGTGCAAGCTAAAGGTAGTGAGCTCTTTTTGCAAAATATGCAGTAAAATTCTTTTTTTTGTGATATTGAAAAACTGTCTTAAGACATTAAAATGTATAAATAGAACAACAACTTTGGCAAAAAATCACAAAAAATCTACAGTATTTATAACTACATACAAAACACAACAGCAAAGAAAAAATATTGGGTAATGCATCTTCAGAGCTTTGCTGCCTCTTTGACTAACAGTTTTTAAGAACACTTCCCAGATAACGGTAGCAAAAATTTTTGTAAAACTGAAGCTATGGTTTGGATTTGAAATCTTCAGAACAGCCCCACCCTCCACCCCCCAAACGTTTCCATTTACGACTCAAAAGCAGTTACCTGTTGCTTAATCTATTATGATACAAACTGTGAGGGTCGACTGATACAGGGACGATCCAAGTGGGCGGCTGATGAAACCGTGTGCTTTTAGAGCGTGAGGCTCCAGAACTGTCCAGCCTCTCCTCACCCTGCCCCGTGGCAGGGGCAGGGTGGAAAGAGTCTGAAATATAAACTGCAGAGAGACCTCTGCTCATCGAGTTCTGCCGTTCTAACATCAGGTCTAGAGGCATTGGATTTTCAGGTCAAGAGGAAACGTGTTTGTTATTTGCATCCTTACTTTCCCTTTCACCAACTTTTCTTCTTGCATTATTTACACGATTATTCAGCCTGATATTAAAGACAGAGGTTGCTAATCCCAGCCCTCATCCCACCCTCGTCATCCAAAAATATCAGCTTTCTAGGGAGTGATATCTATTTAATTAGAATATTAAAAATGCATCGTATTAGCAAGTCACCACTGGATAAGCAACCTATATGAGCCGACCCTTAATTAAATGGCCATAATTCTTCCACGAAAAACTAACTGGCACTTCTATTCCCATACAGACTTGTATGTAAATGACACCACTTCATTTTTCTTTACACAGCTTTTAAAAAAAAATCATAAATTAAAAATGTGGAATTCCATCTCTAGTGTCCCTTGTGTAATTGTATGATTTATAAAAGACAAATGGTGTTGAGTTAAATCAAGCCTTAAAAAAACACAAAAAAAAAAGCCCAGAAAGAAATAAAAGCAAGCCCCCACTCCCCCCAAAAAAGAAAAAAGTGGATTTTTTATCAACATACAATAAATATATCTCCCAGGTATTTGGGATGGACAACTTGAATCAGCACCTTGCAATTGTAGATTGATAATTTCAGTGTTTGCAAGGATGGTGATTTTTGTTATGTTTAAAAATCCGCAGTTATTGTAAGATTCTTCTTTATTTCTTTTTTATTTCTAAAAAGGCCTGAGTAAAAAGTTCCACTCTGGGACTTGTATCAGATTCTCTCTGAAGCAGAATTCAATCTCTTCATTAATAAAATTCTTCAAGGCAATTCTTTCACATGGGGGGAACAATCATGCCAGATATAGCTGCAAGAAGGAACAGGGAGGAGGGGAGAGAGAGGAAGAGAGAGAGGGGGAAAAAGGTTACTTTTGTGCATTATCAAGCAACTTTTAAAATCCTCAGAACTTTTAAACAGTTACTAGCAATGTAGTCAGCTGTACTGTGATTTAAACTTACATGCAAGTATCATCCAGTAGAGACAACTATGTACACAGCAATCATGGGAAGCCTCATTCTGATCGGGAAGTTGTTTAAATTGCAAGGGATGCTGTAAAAATAGTGATTTTCCTGCAGAAAAAGTGCACTTCCCCTGATATCAGAATCAGACCTCGACTTAATTTTCTGATTTTAGTTTCAAAATCTCAAAATGCTCAGGAGGCTTAAAACCTGACCAAGCCATTGCCACTCATGCTATTGCTCTTTTAAAAGCAAAAAACGACACCTGCTCCACATGCGAGAAATGGCTGGAGGCCCGTAGGCCAGCAGCATGACAGACCAGGCAGGGTGTTCATCGCATTAGGCGCACCATCAGTGCTTCATTCTCCTGTGCCAGTTTTCTCTTGCCAGTTCAGTGGTCAACTCTGGGACTTACGTATGTATTTTCAGGTGCTCAGAAAAGGACTTTAAGCTCTGAAATCCAATTTTCAAACTGAAATATGTCCTTAATCAGTGGTTTAGCAGAGCGGCATCTCATGGTTTCATTGCACTTACAGCAGACATCACCAAATACAGAGTCATGTGTTAATGCTAATCTAGAATGTCCTCTTTTGTTGACTAAGTATTTCTTTATTATACTTCTTTATTATGCTTCCTAAACTTAATTTTATATGAAACCACCACCTCTCTTAAAGAAGAGACACTCATTAAAAGTCAGCAGGTACTGTCTTTCACCTAGCTTGACCTCCAGGTTGGTCTCCCTCCCTTTACCAGGGACTCTATGCAGATCAGACATACAAAGTGTCCAGGTGATATACTGTGAGCAAGCACATCATTACAGAAGGGAGTCATCCAAGTTTATGATGAAAACTAACAACAAAGCATCTTTAAAATACCAGTTGTAGGGTTATTTGCCAAAAGGTAGAAAACAGATTTGCCTTCAGGTTGGCGGCACTTCATGGGTGCATTATTTAAATGCTAGAACTGCCTGCCATCTCAGACATCTGGACATGTAATTTCTTAAGGAAGAACTCAACCCTGTGACTGGTGCTGATTCATTGTGCTTTAATTACAGCTGCAATTATTTGATAAGAACAGAGCCAAAGTAAAAGACTCACAGATTTGGGGTTGGAGGGGGAGAGAAGGGAAATGTTTTCTGCGCAAACACCACCATATGTGCAAGAATTACAAGTCTAATCAGCAAGAGGAGAACAGCTCGAGTAAACTGCACTGATTAAATGAAATAAAATGAGAGGAGAAGGCAAGAATGCAAAACACATCCACGCGTTTGCAACAGGCCATTCTCAGAGGTGACATGTTGCAACTATTCAGCAGCATTTCAATTCTTTACATTTATCATTCCGCGTGGTTTTATGTGGTATCACTGTATTGATTGTTTCCACTCTACATAATGGCTCTTCAAAGAGCTGAGAATGAGGATGAAAAGGAGAGAGAGGTGAGTTAAGCTGCTTTAAGCCCGACAGGAAGACACTCAGGTGAGTAGCGCAGAGGACACCACTGTGTCTTAGATGTTGCTTGCTGAGGTATTTCTGTCATGGTCTTTCTTGGCTCTACCATGGAGATAATCCGAGGATGCATTTTCATATTATCTCCATAGTTATTTGCTCCTTCATCTCAAATCATGGGACTAATTCAATATTGCCTCTTTTATTTTAGAATCCTTGCCAATTTAATCAAGACTGGGTGAAACAACAGCAGCTTTGTTTAAATAAATTCTCAGAGGGTTTTATTTCAGCAGTGTCTCAAATAAAAAGTTTTGAATCCTCACAGCTGTGCTGTCCCCTTGGTACATGTGACTGAAAACGAAGCAAACTCAAGCCAAGCAATGTTCTCACTGTTGTGGTTGCTCCATACTCTGCTCTTGGGATCCTTACATTTGGGCCAGGGTATGGACCCCAAACCACAGATCTCTATGGTGTCAATAAAATAGGTATTGACAGTGATGGATACAGTCAACCAGATTGTAATTCTGCTGTGGCAGCCCTACAAGGCTGCCACTAAGGGTGAGAGTGTAATTTTCCCTGTCTGAATATATCAAAGAGTCACATGGACGTGAATCTGAGACACTGGTTTTGTCTCAATTCTCCTAGCTCAAAGTACTACATCAAGTGCTTTGATTTGTTTCTCTTTCTCACCTGAGGATAACAATTTTTACTCCTATTAGTAAAGCACTTGGAGATTTCTGGAGGGCAGCTGTTTAGCAGCACATAGGGGTGAGACTGCAGTGCTTGGACACGAGGGCCATATGTTACAGTACAGAGAAAAGTGATAGTGACAACAGTGCTCCCTCCTTTCCTGGTCAGATAAGCAAGGAGTTAAGTAGATGGGAATGGGTAGAGTCTTCCTACATGTGATGACTGCAAGCGAGCAGAGTCAGACGGATAATTAATCCTCTGTGCACACTACTTCACAAAATTCCTTTTCCTATTCAGCCCTTTCTAAATTCTAAATTTAGTGAAACTTTAAAAATGTTGTTTCGCTTTAGAAAAATTACCCGTACTTCAGAAAATGTCAATATATTATTCTAACAAAAATTACTCAGGCTAAAAGATTTATTCAAACCAAATAAATTTCACCAAAAATGGTCAAGAATTGTCTCTTATCTTGGGACAGCACAGCTGTCTACTGTGGTAAGGGCCCAAACAAAGGTGACATAATTGCAGCTCCTCCCTTTGTGGCTTAGACATTTCCCTGTAGTCACATAACAGCCATGCACCCTTTGCCACTGGAAACAAAATGTACAGATGCAGATCTTAGCCCATTTTTTCAAAGCATTATTGCTTTTGAAGAGCTCTGAAATTCTGAATTAAATTACAAGGCAAATGGCAAATGATATCTTTTCTGCCTAAAAGCTTTGATATTTCCATTCTTTCCAAGTCTTCATTTATATCACTCTACTTTTATTCCGTAAGTGCTACATCTCGTCATGCAAATTCACTCAGCTGTAGCATGTTATTGATCCTGAAAACAGAGATATCAGTGGGAAACAGTGTAGGTATGAGATCACACCACCTCCATAAAGGGAGGGCAGAGAGCAGAAAAACTCCCACCAATGGGCATTATTTCTTCTATCATATACTAATTTGTATTTGCTGCTAGCAAATTACAGAAATAATGCATTTTGAGTTTTACGAAATTGCATGGCAAAGAGAACAACAGATAAGCCTAGCTGTTGTTTTAGTGAGTTCTGCTGATATCTAAGCTACATAAGGAAAGCTTGATTGCTTTCTGATGTATCCAGAAGCCCAAGAGAGATAAGACAGCCTCCTTATACATGGTTGTTTATTTAAGCAATAAGGCACAACAGGCAGTGCATTTCTGAGTGATTATTACAAGCCTCAGGTGGTGTCAGAAGGCATGGGACTAAAGGCTGTGTCTTTAACTTGCCAAGAAGTTCAACAACGACCTAGAAATGAACCATCTCTTAGTGTCTCATTTCTATTATGAAAACTGAATTGCTAAATAAAAATTAGGGAAAACACTTGGATCTGTGTGGTTCCTGGGCATTACAGACCTTGTTGTGACATATTGAGGAGGCAACCAGCAAGCCCCAGTTGTGTCCAGTGCTCTCAGCTCATTCTATAATAGCTTTCACAACAGAGTATGTGGACTCTGAGAATTCTGTATCTTGTGAAAAGAAAAACAGTGCCCGAAAAAGCTTTCTCCTGTTACTCGCTTTTTTTCTCCGCTTGCAATAGCAAGTTGGGACAAGGTGAAGAGAATGAAAATACATTAACATGTTCAAAAGCTTCTAGCAGTCAACTCTTATCTCCTTTTTCATTTTTTAATTAGAGGTGAAACATTTTTAGCTGTTGCCTTTAAAATCTGTAGCACATTGGCAGTGCCAAATTTTAAAATACGGAAAAATGAATCTTTTAAACACTACAGCTCACCCGCAAATTTTGTACCCATGTTCTGCTTATACGTTCCTAGTATTTTCACAATTTCTCTGTGTGTGTACCTCTGCAAGGAGTCCTCCATCCAATTCACCAGCGCAAAAGGCACTGAGGACAGTGCTTTCCTTCAGTCACAATAGATCCCAGCTTTTATGAATGAATTCCTTCCACTCTGCCTGCATATGGATTTTTTTTGCTTGTTAATGGTCCTATCAGCATTATGCCCGCAAGCCCGGCATTTCTCTTTCCAGAGGCCGTAGAGTGACATGTGGAGCCTGCAGAACCATCCTCCCCCCGCCCTGCACAGCTCCTTCTGAATACGGCTTTAAAAATGACGGATTTAATTCCCTGCTCGATGCTCTTTGAATAATTTGCACAGGCACGTGGAAAGGAAAACAGACCTCAGCTCTGGGGGAAGCACAACGCATACTGCAAAATCTTTCCCACCTCTGGCACAGTTGGAGGCATCTGGCTGCACCTGCTTATGGAAACTCCTCAGTCTAAGCCAGCATGAAAACGTCTCTCTCAGCACCCTAATGCGCAGTGAGGTAATTACACAGGCAGGTGTAGGCACAGTGCTGTAAAACAGGCTGAACCAAACAATGAAATGGGCAGCACTGGTCTTTGCAGCATCCTCAGTTTGACAAGCTTTTGTCTGACACTCCTTCGGCTTGAATCAACGCTTCAAAACGTATTTAGGTGCTAATGCTGGAATGCTTTGTAAGGAGAGAGGAGGGGATGCAGAAAAGGAGCAGCCCCTTGATACTAACAGTTGAAGAGGCTTTCGGAAAGGCTCTGCACCACTTATGGAATTAATTGGTGCAGAAATACATTAATCAGTGGAAACTAATGTTTGCCCTGGTATGATTTAAACTGTGAAAATGCTGCTGTTAGTTTGTAATGTGTCTTCTATTTATGAAAAGCAAAGGTTTGTGCCAAGGTCTGTAACGGTCTATTTGCTCTCAGTAGGATTTCTGCACAAGTGTACTATGACAAAGGAAAAAAAAAGGAAGGGAAGATTGAGTGACGTACTTCAGGAGAAGGCCAGCCCCTGGAGAGACCCTGCAGTGGAGTACTTGCTAGAGTCCACAAAAGACTGGTCTGATAAAGGACGACAACAGGGAATAAGAGAGGAAAGAAAGAAAAAGGATGGTATTAGTAAGCTGAAATATTACTTGTTTTTATCATAACAGTAGGTCTGTGCTTTAAAAGACAGAGCCTCTCAATTCAGCAGTATTAGTCGAGTTAGAGATAGGGTGGTTGCCAAACACCTGCACGGTACTAGGTGAGCTGGTGGTGGAGTCCAGTTACTCTTTACAGGAGGAAACTTTAGGACAGACACCACCAGGGATCCCCCATCGTCTTCTATCCCCTTGGACAACTCAGTGTCGCTTAGAGCCTCACAAGGCACCAGGAATTCATGGTTTTGAGAGAAGCCATCTATGCTCCAGACTTGGTTTCACCTACCTTGCAGGCTATTGCCATTGGTGCTGGTGCAGGTGGGAGGAGGAGAAGTTTGCGGTCTCACGACAGGCGCAAAAGCACTCTTCTGTTTCACTGCTGAGACCATGTTGGCTGGTGAGAAGGAGAAAATCCCAGAGGAACTGCTACAGTTTGAGGGAAGGCTAGTGGAGGAGGCCATTGTTGGACTTGATGGCACAACTAGAGGAAAAAAGAGACCCCCCCAAAAGGCATTCCTTAGTACTAGATAATCAGCAGGATGCAGAAATAAGAGAATTCTGCTTCTTGGATGCACTGGGTCTAATTTCAAATGGCCAAGGCCTTTACTGCAGTTAGATTTATAATAAATAATTTTATAATAAATAATTTTTGCTCACAAAGCATCATCAGTTACTACAGGAAACCATTTTTGTTTTGAAGGTGTTCAGGAGCACTAATTCTAGGAGCATGTAAATGCTCCCCTAATTCTCTGTCACTGCAACTCTTTGCTCTTACAACAACCCTGTCCTGCCATCCTGCTTCAAACTTTTCTAGTGATTGGCATTAGCCACTGCTGTGGTCTGAATTTGTAATGTTTTTGTGTAGGTGGATTAGAGGGAAGCCAGACTCTGTAGGTAACTCAGGGGCTATAAAACTGATGGGCAAGGAGAGTGGTTAAAGTACAAATCTTGATCTGGAATTTTTCACTTGGAAAGGTTTGAATTTTTAACTGATCTCCATAGCTAATACTTTAAGCTGTGCTTTCCTTATAGCAAGATGGCTCCAGAAAGTCTTAAGTTTTTTTAAATAAGTGTAGACATAAGGCTCTTCTCCTTTGTAGGGACTGAACTGACTGTCCAAAATGTAAATGTGCTACATAGGAGGCTTGTTTTTTAAATACATATATCCTTAAGCCATTATTTTACTATATAGTGGGATAAATATCTTTGGTTCCTGTATTTACCATTGAAGTTCTAAGTCCATTTATTTTCATGAAAATAAAGTCAAATACTTTTATAGTCAGACAGCACTGTCAGTCTCCCCTCTTATCCCCCCCAAAAAAGGACCAGTATTCTTGTTCAGAAAACGTTTATATACACGAGGGGGCTATGAATAATTACATATTATAGAGTAAAATTCCTGGGCTTTGAATTATTGTTTTATTTGCATTTATGTAGATAAAAATCACCCTATTTAAGTTCTTATTTGAGAATCTGATATCATATTTGTTAACACTGAGGAAATCAATTAATGGAAATTTAACGTTCAAAGTTTCACAGTCTGACAGATACAATCTTAGTCTGAAGTCACTCTGTGTCTGGAAGTACTTGCTAAGGGAGAGCAATCAAAGCACCTAAATTGAATTGCTACTATACAGCAATTAGTTTATTGATTTAATTAAGAATGCCACCTTTTAATTTTCAGGTCATGATTGAAGCATTTTCTGATTCAATGGATTAGGCATTAGTGGAATGACAGATCTACAAAGAAAACCTCCCAAAATATAACCAGAAAAGAGAACCAGGGCTGGGAAGTGAAGTGCTATTCTAGAGAGCCCTTCGTTCATAAATATGAAATAATACACTGCTAGAGTATTTTAAATGCATTACTGGCATCTGCTTCCAAAAAGAGATGTCTCATCAATCATGTTATATTATGAATTCAGAGCGCGCAGATTCTGTGACAGTAAATTCAACTTAATAAGTAAGGTACTTTGTAACATTGCACGATACATTATTATTAGAGTACAAAAAAAAATAACTGGTTAGCAATTCCCAGGTTATAAGTACTAGTTATGTGTGTAAATATTTTCTTCTAAATTTGCAGCAGCTAAGAAGACTTGGGGGTAATTTTTTTTAATCAGGGTCACTATTCCCTTTTTAATTCTGAATTCCAGCAACACAATTCAAAATAATTCATTACTGCTGTTACACCACTAAACTAAGATTTGCTGCGTAAACCTTGGTATGTTCAGCAGTCTGTTTGTCCTGTCCATGCTAGGGTCTCAGCCTATAAACCTTTTTATATGACAAGACCTTCTGGCCTGATTCTGCTAGCAGCTTTCTACAGATGTCAGTGGAATCCTTTATGCCACGTGAGTAATGTCAGAGGAATTGGCCAGGTCCTATTCATTTAATTTTCTCATGTGAATAGGGACTACTGAGCTGTGTGGGTAGCTGCAGAAGAGGTTCATAGGCCTTTGCCAATAGAAATGTATTTATATTTAAACAGGACACTAGACCTTTAATATCAAAATGCAGAAAGTTAGTCCCACACATAAATATTTCCTTATGGTAGACCATAAGCTCTTTATGCCACCGAGTATATGATTTATATGACTTCCATCTTTGGGGCATTCACTGTAGAGACACTAAAACACAAACTCTAAGAGCCATTGTCACATTTTACTGACTAATATTAAGCTCTCAGTGAAGTCAATATAATGCCTACTTACAAAGCAAATGGGGTATAAGCAATCAAGGTTAGGCCCAATAGTAATTCCTAATTTCTATAAAGGTTATGAACATATTATTTGCTCAGAGGTCTCGCAAACATCATCATGTAGCTTGTGGAAATATCAGTCTTATTACAGTAAACTTTTCTCTCCTTCTTATATTAGAATTGGAAATAACTATTTTTCCTGAAGCAAACATCCTTAGCTTCCTTTCATACCAACAAAAAGTTGTGTACTGACAACTGACTTTTGATCCATTCCGATGGACATCAAGTCACTCACACCATCCCTGCTTTCCAGCAATGCTGAGGACAGCGTTTCTTATTTAGAGTTTAAGGTAAATTATGAAACTATCAGCCCAAATAATAAGAGACATTATTTTTAAGCTCTTATGATACTCCCAAAGAATAATAATAATAAATAATCAGAGAAGATAATTGCTGGCAACACTAATGCCTTCAAAGTGCTTCAAAGGTCAGTGCCTTGGAGAGGACAGAAAGAACCAAACTCTGTTTCAAGTGCTCAAAATAGAAACTAAATATTGAGTATCACAGAAAACTCACCATCTCTTTCGAATGCAAAATGTGCAAAATACAGAAAACCATAAAATACTCACTGGCATAGGGAGAATTGGCAGCAGATCCATTCAGGAAGGTTGGAGAACCGCCTAAATTTGACATTCCAGCATTCCCATAGCCATTCATGCTTGTTGTGACAGAGTTATAATTTGTCTGCTGAGGGGTGGTGCTTGGCACATAGCCATGAGGTGACACGCTGCTCGAGTTGCGAGTAAAACCTTTTGTGGGGAGGGAATATATTTAGAATTTGGTATTAGCCCGACAACAATTTCTTACACAAACAGCTACAAGCAAGTAACTCAGGGCTACCAAGCCAGTGGCCCAGACCAGCCATGTTGTGCCTGGGAAGGGCCAGGACCGACCACCAGGTAACCCAATTTATGAACCCTCGCTGCTTAGTTCATTGCGGATAGGAGCACAAAACTGGAGAAGGGAGGCTACAGCCTTCACAGCTCCTCAGGCAACTCATGTCCTCAAGCAAAGATTACTGTTGGGCAATACAGGAGCACTCGCTCTAAAGTTGTTTGTAGGAAATGGAGTAAACATGACCTATATTTTCAAAGTGAGGATTACACACTGAGTTAAGGAATGTTAAAAGCATGTGATTTTTGTTAACTTTCTCCTGATGTCACTCTCATTTAATGCATCTCGAATTAGATGCTCACTGCACACTTTAGAAAATGCAGGGTGCGTTTCTCATAGTGGGATATCCTTAGTCTTTCTGCTGTGGTCTGATCATTACGTTGGCAGAAAATGACTACCAATTTGGTACCAAGTTAAAAACTGAATCTCTACCTAATTCTGAAAATTACTTTTGGGAAAATTCATAACCCAGATATCCCAAAAGGAAGATTTATTTCCAGAAGCACAGAAATACAAAGTGTCTTCTTCACTCCTAGAAGATAAAAATGCCAACTTTTCTTCCTACCTCACAGTACATTCATAAAATATTTTAATCTAAAAGTAATTTAGATTTCTTTTAGTGTAATGCAAAATAACTTTGTTTGCCTTCTAGAAAAGAGTTTTATTCTAATACTTTCAAATTAAAGTGGATTCTTAAGTGGGATAATAGAGCAGAGCAAAGGAGAGGAGAAAACGCACAGGGTTTTTGCAAAAATGTTCTTCACTTTTTTATTTTTAACTGTAGGAATTAAAATAATATTTCTTTTCTACAAAATGAAAACTACTTTAAAATTTAGAAAGGCACTGAAAATGTCTTTGTACATATTCCTATTTTTTGCTAGTTTCAAAATTTAGAGAAGTCTCAAACTCTGGAAAAAATTCAGAGCCAATACTATGGCAAACCCAGAACAAACCAAACCAAATTGAGAAATACTTAAGGGATACTTCTGTGTTATAAAGAAATGCCACATAGGGACCAGACTGAGAGATCTTCAATGCTCAGGGAAGTACATAAACAAGTACTTAATATTAAGTAAATGCTCAAGTCAATAGAAATCCTTCTAAAATTAGTGGGATTTAAACACAAATACAAGTGTTATTCTGAGTAGAAGGAAAAGCTTTTTAGATAAATGCAGAAGTGCTTTTCCCAAATCAGGACGGAAGTCCCATCTCGTCATCAGCCCCGTCTCATGATAGTGTTGTGGCATTCAAAGGTTGTGCATGCGTGTGGGCTGGTATCTGTCCAGACATGCTCCTAGCCTTCAGTTCTGAACCATCACTCTTTCACTGCTCTGCACATTTCCCTGGCTTTTATCAGAAAAGGTTCATAGAGAGAGGAAGATGAGTCTTCTCCTGACCCTGATTGGTGGCTTGTGAGGCTTCGGAAACATTGACAGCTAGTTGACCACTAAAGGAATTCACTCCCATCATTCCTGCATGGACTGACGTGTTAGCAAGGGCAGGGAGCTGGTTATGATTGCGGGGGACACTGTAGAGTGCTTCTGCGATGTCTGCTGCTCTTTTCAGGATTATTTCCTAGAGGATAAGAAAGGGAAAAAAAGAATAAAAGTTACCAGTGTGACTCTGACAAACCTTTTCTTACACACTAAAATGAAACATTTCCCTGTCCAAAGGCAAAAACTAGATGCTTCTCTTTCTAAACCAGCTGGCTGACTGATAGCTAATGCTTAATAAAATCTGCTGCCTTTTCTGATAAATCCTGACATCTGTAGTAAGAGAGTTGGAAGTTTCAGACCCAGAGGCCACGCTTCTGTATCAGAAGACCAACTGGCAGAATGGGACTGGAGCCTAGACTTACTCCACCCTATCGTTAGGGAAGACTGAAAAATCACTGGTGGCAAGACATAATGCATATGATTGCCCATATTACACTGTATCTGGTAAAGGCGGGCAAATGCTTCCAGGGTTAATAATACGTTGCTATTACGAGCACTAAATTCACATCCTTTAAAAAAAGAAAACAAAAAAAACTGTACCCCACTCCAGATATGACATTGCCATCTATATTTATTCTTGTCTCACACTGTAGTATCATATACCTTTAGCCTCTGATTCATCTATACATCTAAGAAATAGCCATGCTTCAGAATTGCTGAATTAGAATGCATTTACCTGGTTATTATGTGGCATACCATAGAGTGCTTCTACTAAATCAGCAGCCCTCTTAAGTATTACTTCCTGTCAATAAAAAAACAGATGCATTCCTCTGAGTTCAATAAACTCCTTGTGGGAGAAAACAAATATTAGATTTTTTTATACTCTTCTATTAGTCGCACCATGTTTTGTGTTTGTTTTTTTTTCTCCAACCAGGTACACCCTAATTGTAACAACTCTCAGCAACCACCAAATGGTGTTAAATCACTAGTTCATCCTATTCACACACACGCTTAATCAAGTCAAAAGGTGAGAATCATTGGTGCTGCAAAATAAAATACATCACTCAATTGTCTTCACCATCTGCACTATAAACCACTCATCGGTTTATTGCAGAATACAATCCTGAGGTCATTTACCAGATTACTGCAATCAATGTCATTCAGAGCATGTTATGAATCCCTTCAATGTGTTTATTTTGTTCTTAATTGCATACTGCAGGAATTGTGACCTTACCCAGCAGGCCACGTTCAAAAGATATCCAATCAGCTCTATGCTACCAGTAATGTAACCTTTCAACTTCTTTGGTTTGTATCGTGACATGATGGGTCAGCATAGAGTGCATGTACATAAGATGATGCACAAGAGAAAAACACATGCCGTATGTGGGAAGGGCCCGGTATGGTGCAGTGTTTCCTAGAAAAATTCCCTGCACGGACAGCAGAATTTAAAACAGTCTGGGATTTAGTGCCCCATTTTAGGCAAATGTTCTTTTCCTATTTTCATATTTGTTCCTTTTTGCTTAATATTTTTTAGAGTACTTTAAACTGGCATTCAAGTAATAATGGCATTTCCTGTGTTCTTACATTTTACAGTGTGGAAAAATCTCTATGACAAATCCTGCTACAAAACATAAAAATGCATTGCAGAATTAACCAAGAATTAGTTTTTTCTTATTCTTTCAAAGCATCTAGTATATTCCTGATTGCCTGATAAAAACCAGATGAGACTGTCCTTTGAGTAGAACAATACATTTTTTCTAATTCCTAGCCCTTAAGAATTGCTCTAATATATTAACACAATGCTATTTACCACAGTATATTTCTGCAGGTAGCTTACAAAAACTGTACCAGTTCTAATGATTTCACAGCTTTCTACAAAGTTAAACTTTTAAACTTAAAATATTTTACACAATAGCCATATTTTATACCAAAAAGAAACAGCAATGCTCAATTTTCATATACTGTAGACTCTGATCAGAAAATAGAGATATAATTGCATTCATTTTGCTGTCACCATAACCTCTTCAAAAATCCTTGAACAACTCTTCAAATGACAAGCTTTTAGATGCATATTAGCATTTTTTTCAATTTTAAATTCTCTATAATATACGATAAAATAGTTGTCATACTGCAGTAACTACTTATGACATATATAATGTCCTAAATTCAAAAATGAGATGGAGGATTTTTGTACTCCCCATAAACATTTAGGCTTGACTTCTGCTGCACACACCCCTCTCAGAACTCAGATTTAAATTATTTTTCAGATATAAAGTGAGATGTAATATATAATTTTTTGATTTTTAAATCATAACCTTTGAAACAGATTCTGAGAAGTTAAGTTGCTACAGCTTTTGTGTGTGTGTGTGTGTTTCTTGTTTTGGAATTTATTATTGTTTGTGTAGCTTGACCACAATAGTTAGCAGTATAAACATGGACAGACAGACTACAAAAAACATCCAGGTACGATCAATCCTTGTTGCTTCACCAGAACCATCAGAACACTGAGTTGCCCTTTTTCCTCATAGTGAAGATACAAACTCGAGAAGAACAGAGATGTTACTGAAAAATGTTATCTTTTTCAATGCATGATTTTAGGTGGAAAATTACTGCACAGGTGTTTGAATTTGCAAGCTACGATTTATTTCACTTCAGTAGAAATTGTCTGCTCTATATATTTCACTGATGGAAAATTAGAATGTGATACGGAGCCCACAAACTGCTTTGGAATATTGTTAACCTAAGCTGTCACTATGCTAAATTAATTAAAAAAAAAGTAAGTTTAAATAGTCATTTCTGCTGTACCTGACTAATCATAGTTATTTATGTAATGCTGAGCTAAAAACCTTAGAATGTATCTAAAAAGAGATTGAAGACCATGTTAAAAAATGAGGTAATTACATGGAATCTTACAGCTGCTCTACCTTATATCAAATATTATCCAGTTTTCAAGCACTGGAAGTTCCTTGATGCCACATCATATTGCATGTAAATAAACCAAATTGTCATGGCCTTTTATTGAAATATGCTTGATAAGTAGCACTGAATTTTCCTAGCTAGTCAATGGTTATGTTTTTCCAACATTTTCAGAGTCTGTAAATTTGAGTTTCATACTTTCTCTAACAGTATTTTCACTTAATAAAAACATTTCTTGTTTATGACATTTTTCAGATCATACAAAGTAGATGTTACACAAAAACTCCTGTGTCAAATAGTGGTATCTGCGATACCAGAGCTGACGGTAGTTCTTACAGACACAGACTAGCTTTAACAATACACAATATAATGCTAGTACAGACATGCTCAAGATAATAACTTCTTGTTTCCTGACTGCATCTTAAATGCTTTGCAGCTCTGCTTAAATTACCATAGAGGCTCCTGTTACGACTCCACATACAAAGGAGCCCCAAAAGTCCTCTATAAGTTAGAGCAGCAGACCTTGCAAGGTGCTTGGATTGCGGTGACCAGAAAATTGTTCTCACCTCCATGTCATTACGCTCACAGTGAAGCAGCCCCCGAGCATGTTTGTGTTCGGGATCTAATATATTGCCTTTCAATCAGAGCTGAGAGCCACTGAACACATAGACAGAACATGACGAGCAGGTCAGGAAAGCAATAAAGATTTTACAGAGCTGTCCAAGGTGCTAAATTTACTCAATAATGGGTTTGGCACCATAGTGTTAACCTCTCATTTACTACCAGTTTGAGGGACTAAATTGAAGTAGCTGACTTCATTTACCTTGAAATGTATATTTTATGACATTATGTAAGTAGATTGAAAGGGCACTGCAGTTTTAACAATTTAAAGGCTAGAGCATGTTTAAGATGAAGCTTGAATATTTATTGTATATTGCACTTAAACTATATTGTATATTAAAATGCATTGATTAAATTTGTAAAAGGTATTATAAAAAAGGACAGCTAATATAAAAGATCTATGTCTTTTAAAATCCAATTGATACTGCACGTTACCACTGCAATAGTGATAGATAAACAGATGGACAAGTGGACAGAGCAGCAGACAGACATATCAAAAAATGCATGAAACAAAACGTTCTATAAAAAGAAATCTCTGCGTAAGCTCAAGGTCTGTTATTATGGATATTCTTTTGTTCACAGAAATTTTTCTTTGCCTTCTCAGAAGCCTAGATTTTCATAGCAGTACATGGGCATCATGTGAGGTCCTTCCAACTGAATATGCAAGCAGAAATATTTCCTGAGAGAGACAGAGTTTGACTAAAGCTAATATCTAATTTATGGGGCATTTGTCAAAAACAATCCAGTCTTCTATTAATGCTAAATGTCTGGCAGCTCCTGGTTTAAAATAAAGGACTTTCCAGCATTTAGTTAGAACTAAAGTGAAGGTCTTCTTGTCTTCCATTTTATTTCAAAGTTTATTTCTATAAAAAGAACAATTGAGCAAATATTGAAAAGAGGAAAGATTACTTTAGTGCTTAAATATGATGTATCAGAACTCTGCCCTCCATGCAGCTATATGCCACAGAGTGAGTCCATTTTTACTCCTAACTGAAGCTGATTTTCTACTGAAGGATTTTTACCTTTTTTCATTCTTGAAACAGCAATGAGATTAAATATTTTAATCAAATATTCCTCCTAAAAATACTAAGTAGTGTTTACATAGGCAAAAGAGGTGGCTTGGTAGTGAGGTCTGCTGCAGCTTTGCGTATTCCAAAATTATTGTAGGGAATATTACATAAATCATACCAGAATGACTGTGCTTTTGAAGCACAGAGGCTGAATTTAAGACTGCATCCACTCCTGACAGAATGTACCTTACATTACAGCAACTTTGCGTGTTTTGTTTGTGGCATGCGTTCCCTTCAGAAGGAAGTCATTAAGATCATGAAACTTGCATTCTAAGTTTTACCATGCTGAAAACATTTTGTGTTAATTTTTATTATGATAAACACATTTTATGCCAGCTTTCAAAAAAATGAGATATTCTTCCTGTTGACATTTGCTTACTTTTTATTCAGCAACTAGTGAAAAAAATCTACTCTGTGTCCCAAAAGGGCTGTGAGTCTCATCAGATAAAGGGTTTCTAGAGTTACAATGAGTTATTCAGCTTAGGTAACTAAATTAGATAATGTTCAAGGTACTTGTTAAATCTGAATGAATTCCGTCAAGACGAAGCAGACCACAATATATAATACTCATCAGCCACATATTGTATTACTGAGACCACCAAAGAATTTATGTATTTGTGGAGGGCATGAGGGGGAAGCTGTTCTAGCGTACTCTGAGGCATTTATCTTATGTGTTGTCTAGATATCATATCACCTTCTAATGCTCTTTAGCATTGTAATACAAGAGAGAGCTCATTCATCTTCTGAGAGGGTACTTAGGGATGATGATGTCATTCATACTTCCTTGACTCTGTCTGACCTCCTGGCTCTGCCTTCTAACTTCTTACTCTCATGGCTACTTGTAAGAAAAAAACTCTTCTGCAGAGTCAAAATGCCCAACATCAGACTCCACTCACCTTCTTCACCTTGGAAAGGTCACATTCTGAAATTTCAAGTCAAAATTACAGTAATTTGTGCTCAAACTTTTCCTGTATTTTTCAATGGGTGATCCTATAAATGTGCGAGTTAAGGATATGAGTTAGAGCTAAGTTTTAAACTTACACTTAAATTGTGTGCATGTGTTATATTTTAAGAGATAAAGACAAAACTGCAAACATCCCTTTCTAGCGTAAAGGCAAACCCAAAATTTTGGCAGAGAGCCATTTAGAAGGACGCCACAGATCTAAAATGCCAGCCATCTAGCTTGGTATACAAG